CATTTCCCCTTTCTATAAGGACACCACTCATGGATGCTGGCTTAGGGCCCTCCCTGTGTTAGTGTGACCTTATATTTTTTCCTTTAATTTTTATTTATTGATTTTGAGAGAGAGAGAGAGAGAGATCAATTTGTTTTTCCACTTATTTGTGCATTCATTGGCTGATTCTTTTATGTGTCCTGACTGGGGACCAAACCTACAACCTTTTGATCTGCATCAGGGAGGACTGTGTTGGCAAGGCCACCACTGCCAAGGTGGCATTGTGGAGACCTGATCGCTTCTGTGTGGATTTGCCTGGAGTCATTTATTTATACAGTTCTAGACACAGTTCTTAATCACAGAGATTTATGGATGTAAATTCCTTCCAAATCAATGGATACACACTGCCTATTTATTGTCACATGAAATTTCAAATTAAATTTTTATACAAATAATATTGATTGACTTTTCTAATCTACGCCAAGCACTGCTCTAGGTCCTAGCGACAGAGTAGTGTAGAAAGGGCTCTCCCAAGGTCTGGACTTAGGAGGCTCTGAGTAAAAAGTGCAGGGTTTTGCCATTGAAGAGTCACATTGCAGGCTGCTCAAACTGCCTGCAGAGCCATTGAACTTGAGGCTGGTGAAGGAGGACATGGATCAGCTGTGGATGTGGCAGTGGGCTCAGGCAGTGGCACGATGCCCAGGTGTGCTCCGGAGTATCTGGGCCACTCGGAGGCTGAGCGGTGCCTGGAGAAGGTGATGAGCCACTGAAATAATGTTCACAAATGATCTATCATCATGCCAAAAAATCCCATGCAAAGTACAGAGGATTTCTTTGTGTTATTGTACAATACAAATCCTGGGAGAACAACGCACAGTCAAAACTGTGGAATGGCCAGATGCAGAAGAGCGACCGCACGCACCCAGTGCTGGGGAGGCTGGGGAGCAGCAGGAGGTCACGGTCACGGCCGCTGGGAGTGCCACATGGTGCAGCCACTTCGGGAGACAGTTTGGCAGCTTCTTACAAAACTAAACATACTCTTACCACACGACACAGCAGTCACGCTCTTTGCCCAAAGGAATCGAAAACTCACGTTCACACAGAAACCTGCGCACGGATGTGTCTAGCAGCTTTCTGCATCATTGCAGAAACTTGGAAGCTACCAACATGTCCTTCAGAAGGTGAATGGAAGAATAAACCATGGGCCACTCAGATGATGGAGAATTATTCAGTGCTAAACGGAAGCGAGCTATCCAACCATGAAAAGGCAAAGCGGATGCGTAAGCGTATATCACTGAGTGAAAGAAGCCAATGTGAAAAGGCCACATAGTACATGATCGAGCCATAGGGCATTCTGGGAAAAGCAAAAGTATGGAGGCAGCGCAAAGATCTGTGGTCGCCAGGGGTTGAGGGGAGGGAGAGACAGACAGAGTGTGTAGGATTTTTAGGGCAATGAAAGTACTCTTTATGATACTATAATGATGGATACGTATCATTATTTATTTGTTCAAATCCATAAACTGGGCAACACCAAGGGTGAATCCGGAGGTGAGCTATGGACTCGGTGTGATAACGGCGTTTCAGCCCAGGTCCGTCCTTGGTGGAAAGCGCGTCAGTCGGGTGAGGGACGTGGATGGTGGGGAGTTGTGGGGATCTCTGTACCTTCCTCTCAATTTTGTTGCAAACATAAACTGCTCTAAAAAATAAAGTTTTTAAGAGAAAACAAACAAACAAAAACCCCACAACTGATTCTGTGTTTATGCTAAGAATTAGTTCTCGACTATTTTTTTCAGTTAGACATGTAAATTTCACTGGGTTTTATTGTTGCTGTTTCTATCTTTAGGGTTAAATTCTAATCAAACCTTTTCTCTCCTATTAATTACAGCATTTTGATTGCCATCTTAAGTAAATTCACTTTCAGAGTCAGGGTGCCGGGATCCCCTCGCACATGTGGGTCTCCTGGGTTGGTGTTCTCCAGGTCATTCTGTGTTGCTCTCCAGGTGCCTGGCAGCAGCACTGGGTGACTGAGCAGCAGCCACAGGTGACCCGTGGGCAAGGCCGGTGGCGCAGGCCCCTGCTGGGTCTGGATTCCCACCTGATCCCAGCCAGCGTTCTGTTCCTCGGGGGAGGTTCTCGTGGGTTGACTCTGTGCTTCCAAACCACCTGCCTCTGGCACAGGGCCTGCCCCTCTCACTTCCAGCCTGCACCTGCCCCCGCAAGGACGGCCCACCCAAGACCCTACAGGCTTGGCTGTCCTGGTGGGTTTGTCCTTTGTGCAAACACAGACACCCCTAAGAGAGAACTGCACTTGACGCCCAAGGTGGCTGGCTGTACGTGGGGTTCTTTCTCGAGCGTAGGTGTTGGTTAGATAAGCAGATAAAGACAGTTCCTGAGATTGGAGGAGGGTGGCCGCCACAGGGCAAACAAGCAGGTGTGTCAGCCCAGAAGTCAAGGTCAGAACTGCAGCCAGGTGAGCCAGACTCTGGCTCCCAGGGTTCGGGAAAAACGTGTTTCTCCTTCTTGTCACTTCTTTTCAGTTCTTTCATTTCCCTGACACAGTGCGATAGTATCTGATTTGGCCTTTTGTTTATATTGTCCCTCGTTCTCATTGTCTCATGCCTCCTCTTCCCTGTCTTAATTTTACTTGAATTTATCATTTGTTTCCTTTAAGCTTTTATTTTCTTTTATTTTTCATTCCTTAGGGCTTTGCTCCCTTCCCCCATTCTTGTGCTGGCTCACAACTGAGAGATGAAATGTTCTTCATGTGCTTGTCATGTGGGTGAAGTGTTAACTTGGTGAAGGCTCGCCTGGTCTCAGAGTGCAATGCGGGACGGCTGTGGCTTCCTCCTTCCGCAACCTTCTGGCAAGTGGCACCGCTTTCTGAAGAAAAGACGCAGTTTCTGTGGAGATGAAACCATCTTCGACAGTACTCTAGTTGGATGTAGACAGCAAATCCTGTTGCGCTTCAGACTTCCTTTCGCTCTCTTTTACTGGAGGGGTCCCTCTTCCCTCCTTTCCGGTCCTCCGTGCCCACTCTTCTCTCCTCTACTGTCTCACTGGAAGTCAGGAAAGGGGGTCCCAGGTCAGATGGTCTTTCACATTTCTGCATTTTTTGGGCTAGTGTCCCTGTGCTTTGTGGCACCACGACAGCCCTGCCTACTTGACAGTAGGTCAGAATTCCCCGTCAGCAGCAGCAGTTTCCACTCTGGGCTCTCCAGGGCTGATTCCTGAAGGCCCTCCTCTCGATCGGGTGTGAGCTGATGTCCCAGTGAGGTTTCCACTCGAATCTCCCTGATGCCCAGTGACATTGAGCATCTTCTCGTACATCTGTTGGCCATTGGTACATCTTCTTCAGAGAAATGTGCATTCAAGTTGTTAGCCCATTTTTAAAACTAAATAATTAGTCATGGTTTTTCTTTTTTCTTTTTTGTTTTGTTTTCTTCTTTTGCTGTTGAGTTGCAGGAATTTCTTACATAGTTTGGAAACTAACCCTCATCAGATGTATAGTTTGCAAAGCTTTTCTCCCCTTGTGCAGGTTCTCTCTATTGACTGTTCCCTTGGCCTTGCAGAAACATTTTAGTTTGATGTCATCCTGATTGTCTATTTTTTTTTTGTCGCCTGTGCTTTTGGTGTCATAGTCAAGAGATCATTGCCAAAGCCAACGTCAGGAAAATTTATCCTATGATTTTTCTGGAAGTGTTATAGTTTCAGGTCTTATATTTAAGCCTTTATCCCTTTTGAGTTGATTTTTATGCATGGTGTAAGAAAAAGGTCTGATGTTATTCTTTTACCTTGTGTATGTCTAGCCTTTTCAAAAATACTTGTTGAGGAGATGACTGGCCTTTTCCCATCGTGTATTCTTGGCACTCTTTTTAAAGATCAGTTGATTATATACCTTTGAATTTATTTCTGGGCTTTCTAGTCTCTCCCATTGCTGTGTGGTTCCATCTTTTTTTTCCCCAGTGCCTTACAGTTTTAATTATTATAGCTTTGCAGTTTAGTTTGAAATCAAGAAGTGTGACACCTCCAGCTTTGTTCCTTTTCGAGATTGTTTTGGCTATTTATGGTCTTTTGTGGTTCTGTATGAATTTTAGGATTGTTTTTCCCCTTTATTCTCTTAAAAATTATTGAAGATGCCAAAGGGCTTTTGTTTATGTGGGTTATAACTATCAATATTGACTGTATTAGAAATGAAAACTGAGCAAAATGTAAAAGACAAGATTTTATAAGCACATATCCCAATGGTCATTGAGACTCTGAAAATACCTACTATATATTTTTATAGGATAAGAGTGGATTTCTAAGAATATATATTCTTATAGATGAAGAGTTACAAAGGTAAATTACATTTTAACAAGAGTGTTAAACTCAGTCTGATCTTGCAGGTCTCAAAGAGGAACACAGGGACCCCTCCGGTCCTCAGCACACACTGTAAGAACTGCTGATTGAGGTGCCCAGTGGTGATGGGCAGACCACTGTGTGCTGGGAGTTCCAGCTCTGGTGGTAGGAAGGTGGGAAAATATTGGAGGACCTCCTTGGTACCCAGCCATTGACAGAACATGTGGTCCCTACTTTACATCTGCGTAAGACAACCCATGCCCCATGAGTGTATGTATGAAGTCAAAGAAAACAATTTGGTGTCTCTTTCATGAACAATAGCATCTTGGTTGGCATGGTGACTGTCTAGACATCTGATGCTCAAAGTCAGCATGGGAGTCAGCAGCCCAGCACGACAGCAGGCCAGCATTGTGCGATTCAGCCTCCTGATGTGGTCACTACCCAGAAACATACCAGAGGGTCGGAGGGTGTTTCTTGTTATTTGGTTAACCAAGAAAACCTTAAGGGTGTATGTGTGATCATGGCCTTTCAAAAAGCCCCTTTCTTACAGGGACGTGGTACAAAGATATCACAAGCTGTGAAACGACATCACCAATCCTTTCAGCAAAATTTTCTGAGTAGCTTCTACCTTCATCCCTGGAAATCTGAGGACCTAAGTGTAATCAATTTCTCCTTCTTTTCAGATCGTTTTGAGACAGCTGTGTCACCAAACAGCCATGTCGTCTCAGAAACTGGAGAAAATGTCACACTCACCTATGAGTTTCAAACGAACAGTTCAATGCAACAGGTCACGTGGGAAAAGGTCCAGCCCCGTCAGATTGACCTCTTAACTCGATGCGATCTGCCACAGGGCAAGAGCAACACCTCAAGGTACCCAAGGCAGATACTGAGCACCTGCGCCCAGGGGATGAGAAGGAGCACCATTGTCCTGCCCCAAGTCACGGCCTCTGACTCTGGACTCTACCGCTGCCTCTTCCAGGCCGACACAGGGGAAAATGAAACCTTTGTGTTTAGGTTGACTGTAACCGATGGTGAGTATGCAGTAGAGATCTTCATGAGTCAGAACAGAAATAGCCAACCGCTGTGATTGGTTTCTCTAGAATTTTATTGTTCAAAATATTTTTAATGATTGGATTTAGATAAGTCGTCAGTTATCGAATGGTGGTCTTTAGTATTTCTCGATCTTGCTGACCCATCAATCACAAATTTAACAATGATAGATCTTTCCCATTTTCTTCATCTGCCCCACATTCCTGAAACTTAAAAAAAATTCAGTGAGTCTAAAAAAATACATGGTATCACCAGGCTATAAGATTCAACGGTTTAACTCCTAATTTTCAGTTACCTAAAACTGGAAAAAGAAAATCTTCTTGGGGGCGGAGACTAGGTTTTATAGCCTCACACGGCCTCGGCATAACGAGATGGTACCAGACTGGTGTTGACTGAATCCGTTCTTGAGTTGTGTGGAACTGAATGACTGTTGCTAATGTGGTTGCTACGTTGCCTCATCAGAGCTGTGAGTCCCTTGGTTGTTTTCAGGTGTGGGAGCAGAAGCCAGCTGGCCTCGATGCTGTTGAAGTCGAACTTGAGGGTCCTGCCCTGAGCCCACCCCTCCAAGGCCCAGTGCTAATTTGATGTTAGTAACGGGTCTTCTGTGTCCCAAGGAAGCCCTGGTGTGTGTGGGCAGCAGGCCCTGCAACACCGTGGGACAGTGAGAAAAAGAGCTTTTTCACTCACAGAAGCGCAGGCACAGAGAGATCTGCTCTCTGGAGTCTGCGTAGAGGCCCGTGTTCCCACTGAGTGGGAGGGAGGCTATCCCAGGTGCTCTCGGTTCTGCTCCTGGGCAGCTGCTCCCGCTCCGGGGGGCGGGGCCCAGAAAGTGATTTATTTTTATTGGGGACAGAAATTCCCCTTTATCCTCCACCCCTCTCTCCCCTTTTCCTTCCTTCCTTCTCCTTCCCTTTCCTTCCTTCCAGCCCACGTGCCTCTGCTGTGTGTAGACCGTGACAGCTTCCGGGGATTTGGCTGTCCCTCCACCGCCGGCCCGGGCAGCAGCTGGTGTTTTCTGCCGCCCAGGGAAGGAAGGAGAAATGGTTTTGAGTGCACAGTGGCCTCCCTGCTTGGGGCGGCTGCGGCAGCCGGGTGGGCTAAGGAGGACGTGTGCAGAGGACAGCCCTCTGTGTGCCCGGTCGCCTCGGGCCACATCAAGCACTGACTGTTTGCTCCTCTTAATGCCAGTGGGAGCCGTGGGTAAGATGTGCATTCTTTTTAGAATTTGACGCAAAAGAGGGTTGACAGACTATTTGGGGGAGAAAATTAACCGAGTTCTTCACTTCAGACATATATAGATAGAAAATATTTCTTAGCTCAAAATAACTTTGCAGTAGAAAAGTGTTTTTACAACCTGGCCACACACACACATGACTAAAAACAGTCCCTAACCTTCTCTCTGAGACCAAGGCCAGAAAAAGTTCTGTTTAGAAAAATGTCTTAAGGAACCATTTTCAAACATATATGAAATAAGATCTTGTTCATTCTATGTTCAAAAAGTGATTATAAAAATCTTAAATCATAGATAAAATGAGGGCAATGGGTTTTTCAGGAGGTATAGTTAATTAACCCTTACTAATGTTAAAAAAAAAAGTCTTTTTCTTGTTCAAACATGACCGAGTTCCTTGCACATAACTATCCCCTTTCTCGGCACATAAGCTGTAAACGGTGTTGAAAGGAGAGTGACGGAACGTAGTGGTCAGTACTGTTAGTGCCCATGTGTTTGGAACGCCCACTAAATGGCTCTCTGAGATTCCATGGGCAGGTTGAAAGAGCGTCAGCTGGGCCCACTGACAGAAGATGACAGCTGTTGACTGTATGTTTTGGTTTTAATTCTTTTTAAAATAGTCAGAAGTACATGTTGAGTATAGAAACTCAGATGGAAAATGAAACAAGATCACTTGCCTTTTCTGTGGTGCGATTTGCTTATTGCAAAGCTTGAGGCTGTCAGGTCAAACATCAACGTGGAGATAAAAAGCAGAGAGACAGGTACCAGCGTGGAGCAGGTTCAGTTTATTTCAGCTGTCAAGGGAAAGACGATTGTGACACAGATTTCGTAAATCGCTAAGCATCTCAGGCAGCTCCGGTCCCCTTCTTTCATAGGATCCAAAAGAGACTGGCAGGACCCTCGGAGTCCACACCCAGGCAGGGGCTCCTCCCCCGGCATTTGTCTGCCTGTGTTCATATCCAACAAGTACCAGGCACCCAGGAATCACCCACAGGTGACACAATGTCAACCCACATGTCATTTATCCAGACCTTGATTTATTCTGAATAGAGAGAGAGAAAGTGGTAGGAACTCGAGTTGAGTTGTGCTGGAATTTACTATCGACTCTCTTTGCTAAAGGGCTAAAAAGGGATAGAAATACTTGTCTTCTACTCTTGGCACTCGGAATCTGAGAAGTGGTATGAAATAGTTCCAGACCGACTTTTCTGCATTTGAGATTTCTCTGGAGCTTAGGGGGAAGAAACAGGGGACACTGGGTGTGTACTGACAGCAACCAAAATTGTTCTTGGCCCTTAATATTCTTTGGAATTTCATTAATCATGAAAAGAGTATTTTACTTTCCATCCAAAGAATTTGTGAAGTCTTTTAACTTGCATGATGTTCAAACCACTATTGTTTTAACTGAGCTTATTGATGATAAAATGGACGAGGCTGGAAGATATACAAACAGCACCCTCAGAGTGTTTCTGGAGGAGCCTGGTTTGGGACGAACGCCCTTTGGCCGCTGCTGAGAAGCAGGGTTCCTCATGTTCCCCTGCAGTCTTTTGCCAACGAGGCCACTCAGCTGAACTGTCAGGTGGCGCACGAGACATCAATGACAGGGCAGAGGAAACAGAGCAGAGGCCGGGAGGGACACGAGGAGACCAGAGCAGCCGAGGAAGTGGCGTGTGGGCGGCTGCAATCAACGGCTGGGTGGGTATCGAGATTCTGAGCTCTTGGTGGCCCAATTAAGTGATAGCTTGTTGGGATGGTGCACCTCCTTTAAGAGCAGTGAAAGCTACTATCGATTCTTGACCAAAGATGGAAAATAATGTTCAGGAAGGGAAGGTCAAATAGTCGAGTACAGAATGAAAAAGAAATTCCAGTGGAGGCCGAGAGCCAGCAGTTGGGCGGCCGCACGTGAAGGATTGAACTCTAGGGCGGGGCTACCAGCATCACATACGGGGTCCTCGGACCCCGAAAAGGAGCCCACCCCAGACAGACAAAGCCTCACATGGCTCCTCCTCTGGGCTCACAAACTAGGGAATGGTGTCCCTTCCTCTGGGCTGGTACAGACCCCAGCTGGCGAACCGGCTTGCTGGTGGGCCACAGCCTGCTTCCCACAGAGGGTGGGCCCTGATCGGGGAGAGAATTTGGTCTCACTGAAATAGCTTGGGTTTGTCACACCTTGATGGTCACTCACACTTTTCTATTTTCTCCTTTTCTTCACCACCCGACTAATCTTTTCCACTTCGTATCTCCTCTCCTTCACTGTTTCCCCCAGACCTCGCCATTTTAAGATTTTTTCCACATTGCCTCACGCTGCTTCCTGGCCGTGGAACCATCAGACACCTTGAATTTCTCAAACACTCACAACTTGGAAATGTCTACCCTCCAGTCAATTAGCACCTGCCTCCATGTGCCGTGGTCCAGACTCTGACATTAGAATTTATTTGAGACTAGGGATTATGGCATCTCTGATTAGAGTGCTCAAAGTATCTTTGCAGACCGTGTGTTAGTCAGTGTTCTTGGCTGATCCTTTGTATGTTAATGTGTGTTTGTACTGTAGCAGGGACTATGTCTATTTTGTGTGCAAGTTTTTTAGCTAGATTATTTCTAGATTTTCTTCATCAAAACTTAACATTCGAAATTTAGTGATTGCTGATCAAAGAAACCAGAACTCTTTCAAGATTAATGACATTGTTTGAGGAGAAATTCTCATGAACTTTGTTTATAGCATTTATAGCTTTCCAAAAGCATTTATAGCTTTCCAAAAAGTCTGTTTCCTTTTTGAACTTCATTTTTCTTATTTTGCATATTTTATGTAAATGGTGCATAATTGCTAGTCACCTGGCCTGGGGATGGGTTTTGCAAAGGAAGACTGCAGAAGGGTTCACTGGGAAGTCATGGCTCGGAGCCAGGAGAACCCTCCCATAGATAGCTTCTGGGGGGCACTGGGTTCATCCATGCGGACCCCTCGGTCCCACTCCTAGGAGCGTATAATGGAGGTGAACGTATCGGGCAGGGCTGGTCTGAGTGTGGAGGTGAGTGAGATCCATTCTGCCTCTCATATCTTCCCCACGTCCACAGAAAATAATGTGTATGGTGGTTGATTCGTGTGACAGAACCACGGGCCAGAATCCCAGAACCCTGGTGTCAGGACTTGCAAGTTCAAATAGCCTCTGATGAAACGGATCGACAGCAATTTTCAGGCCAATTCAGTTAAGCTTTGCACATTCCGGACAACAACGGGGTATCCAGATGAAACATACTTTTTCTAGCGTCATAAGCAAGTTGATTATTCATTCATGGGCTATTATATCGTTGGATCTTTACAGTTACCACTGCCCAAATCTGTTTCTTTAGGACTCACTGCTTAAAAACAAATGCCACTGGTCAGTTTGTTTTGTAAACCACGCTTATTGATTTATTCATCTTTCCAGACACCCCAAATCCCAGTCATCTTTCATACGTACCGTATTTGCATAGGTGAACAGGATGCTGAGTCCAAGAACAAGAAGTTCATATTGAGAGGGCAGACGTGTTGAGAGGGGCGGCGTCACACTGATCGGTGACGCTCTTCCAGGAAAACACTGCTGAGTGCGCATTGATATGCCAGGCACGTAAAGCGGACTCTCCTCGAACATCATGATAAAGAACGCAGGTTGGCAGCGTTAGAAAGCAGCCAGTTCTAGGAATGGTTTAGTTTTAAGTGGGTCTGTATCCTTAGCGTGAATTTCCGACTATTTTCTGGAACTGTCCTCTTCCTAGGAACTTAGAGCACAGATAGATACTGGAATTCACACCAGGCCCCGATGTCCTTCCCACCGGAAACCCATGGCGGCGCTTGCTCGGGAGACCTGCCTAATGATCCATCCCAGCTGCAAACAGCTGTTCACGCTCTTTGTCGTGGGGGGGCTTCCAGTGCGAAGCATCTGGGAACTGTTAACAGCTTGGTCTCTCACAGCCTTATTAGGAACGGGACACAGACGATTGTGTGACATTTTCCCCAAAGGCAAGTAGGAAATCACTCACAATTTTTAAAAAGTTGTTCTTCATAGATTAGTAGCATTGTTTGAGAAACAATTCAGCTATTGTTTCTACTACAATTCAGCTAGTCAACTTCTTCCAACTTCAGCAGAAGTTGCTGTGTGTACTGGCCCCGGAGGGTGGCCACCCTGCAGTAAATTATTCACTTATGTGTCCCACTGACTGTTTGTTTGAACTGTATTTATCCTCTGTGATGGGAGGGAAGACAGTGGCTTTATGGTTCCGGACACTTTCGTCCTCCCAAGAATCAGCTCAGCATTGTGACAGAGGTGGAGAAAAAAGTCAGCAAAGTAGTGGCTGCTGAGAAGAGACAGTCATTCTGGTTTCTTTAAGACGGGGGCTGGTGTTCCCCAGCCAGGATCTCTTAGCAGCAGGTCGGCAAAGGTGACTGTCAGGACTGCCTGTCATCTCCCCAAAGCATCCACTCCTGTCTGCACACGGCCGTGTGAAGCAAGTGGCCACACTTCTCCGTGGTTTCTACCTCTGCAGTCATGCAATGTAGGGCTTCATAAAAATGCCGTCTTCGTCCTTCAGGGTTCTGTGCACGCTTCTGCAAAGAAGCTCTCTGCATGCTGCACTTGAAATAGAACCACTAAATGTTGGCAGATTATTCTGTTTTAAGAATACAGACTTTTAAATTGGGTGCTGTTTTTTTCTGATCACTAAAAGCAATTCTTCACTTAGCTAGAAAATACCAAAAAGCCTAAAGAAACAATTGTTTTTAACTCTTTTCCCTTACGGTCATCACTTTAACATTTCAGCACGTTGCTGCCTAGCAGGCTTGTTTTCCAGTGAGCGCCACACTTGACTGAGATCTTCTAACATGTGCCACTGTGAATTCTGGTTTAAAAATGTTATTGAACTTGCTATCTCTAGTCAGCAGCTTTTCATTTCATTGGAATTCTTGACACTCGTCATTCTAATGTCTATAGCTGGGACTTTCAAAGAGCGGGCCCTGCACCAGGATCATAGGCATCAGTGACAGCTGCCAATCCTGGGACCCACCCAGTCCTGCACTGTCACACTCAAACTCAGAGGCTCAGAGGGCAGGGCTGAGCAACCTGGGGGCGGACCGCCCCTCCCACCCCCGGGATCCTGCCGCGGACCAAGTTTGACAACCCAGCTGCACACTTTTGCTAGTTGGTCTACTGTTGAGAAACAAGGATTTTCTTCTTCCTGTTATAAACGTTTCTTTAGAATAAAGTGATGAATGAAAGGTGCCAGCACGTAGTATTAGGGCGTGATACGGACTGATTCCTTTTTTGTTGCAAGCTGGAGCAGTTGTTCCTCCCCAGATGGAGCTGGGCCAGACCACCGCACACTTCCTTTCGGACACACTGACTCTTTAAGAGCTTCTTTGTCAGTGAGCTGTATCTCTCACTCTGTCTCCTGTCCCTTTTCCTTAAGGGCAGGGATATGTCACAGCTACTAACCAGTTCTTTGTTCATCTTTATGTGTCATTACATATAATTCAACCTACAGTTACTTTTCATTTTGACCAGCTCCATTCTGTATATTTATTTACTTTTATAAATGGGAAAGTCATTGCTCATTCCAGAGATTTATTTATATTTTCTTCTCACATTTACATAAAAATTAGATCTCTAGTTTACCCAGAGTTTTTTTCTGTAATAAATACCTAGAAAACATTTTTAAAAAGTAGTTAAACAATTCTCTCAGAATATGGTCAATGAATTCAATAATAACTTATTTTCTCGCTTTGATTGCCTTTTTGATTTAACCTTAGCATCTACTATATTCAAATTATTTCAGGTACAGCAAGTATAATCCTTTTATAGTCCTGGGTTATAATGCAAAATAACTTCAGATATTGTGTTTATTTTTATAATGTGCCAAGAGCTTTAAAACGTTGATATTTTTATTTGGTGGGGAGAAAACTTTATTGTTCTTCTTGTAGTAGTGGTTCAATGTCGTTTTATTCTGAGTGAATTTCGCTTCCCCCTCCCCGGCATAGCTGGACAAAAACCTGTACTGAGAATCCATGTATAAAATCTTTAAAGCATTCACCTGCTTTTGTACTTTTATTCACCTTCTGGGTTGAACAAATTTAAAACACAGAAGGCATGTTTACTGTTGGACTGCGTTTCTCTTTGCAGCTTGAGAGAATGCATGTACTGTGAGCCGTTGTCATGAAAAAAGGTGCAGCTCAGTAGTGAAATAGGAGGAAAGAAAGAACCTGTAAGGGTGTTAAAAACCCAGAGGAAAGTTGATGTTCCAGTCCCCGCAGCATGCCGGATGTCCTGCATTCCGGGACAAACTTTGAAGCTTTAGTTTCTAGAGGCAGAAAGTCCTGCTGCCTGGTGTCGTGCCAGAACATTTGCTCCCAAAGAGAGGTGGCCAGCTGGTAGGTAGCTCCTGGGTTCAAGGCAGTCCCGTTCCCAACAACAGCACGAAGAGGCGGAGCTTCGTCTCCTGGCATGGGATTATGGGAGGCAGAGGGCGAGGTACACGTGGGCAGGAGGGCACTGTGAAGGTAAAACGCTCTCTGAGCTCATGGGGGCCTGTGCTCTGGAGGTGACCTTTCTCCAGTCGTTTGCTACTGTTGAGTGTCACGGAGGCTCATGACAGTTCTGTGATGCCATTAGTGGAGAGAGGAAAAAGGCATGTGGAGAAGTGTAAGGAATGTGTTACAGTTAAAAAAAAACTTTGCTAGTGGAAGAATGAGGATTTCACATTCCTGGGCCACGGTTCTGTCCGTGTAGGGATGAGTTGGAATAACACACGTTTGCTGATTATTTTTTATCATTAATGCCAGCTGAGTAGAAAATACTTCTCAGATGCAATGCTACTTATAAACATCAAAGTCACATACTGTTGGGTCTTAAATGTACTTAAAACAGATACTTATGGGACTTAAGAAGCCATCTTTATTTGTATGCAATTTTGATCGTTGTTTTTTTCTACAAAAGATTTTATGTTTGGGCTTGGGAGCTCATTAGAACCAAGTGATATCTGGCTCAGAGGAGATGTGTACTCCTTCCATTCTTACCCTTAAGATGTCCAACCTGATCTTAGGGATCAAGGAACTAATGAAAATCTGTGAGAGGCAGAATTATTTAGGAGACTCTGAAAGAAAAGTAATCTTTTTTCGATTTTGTCCTATTTTTTCTTGGTTTTGTTGTTTGTTTTTAAAGTGTTCCCCTGTCATGATTAATGTACCTGTATCTCATTTTCTACCTTCCATTTTGCTGGTTTTAGCTGAATTCCTAATTTCTACTATAATTTTTTTTTCTCCTAGATAAAACCGTTAACCACTATATCCTCTTCACGGTTGGAGGGCCAGTTTTATTGCTGCTGTTTGTTATCCTAATTGCCATCGTCATCGTCATTGTTTGTAACAGGTGAGCATTGCTTCTTCTCCTGAATCGTGTTCACCCTCAGTGATCCCGACATTCCGGTTTCTCTGTTGTTAATAACCCCGTTGTTACTCAAGCTGTCTTCCCATTCCCCCAGTTTTGAGAGCTGCTCTTACACAAAGGAGAGGGAGGAATTATAGTATCGGAGGAGAAGACAGAAGAGCTCACTTAATAATTAGTAGGAGCTGGCTGTCTGCCCCACATTAACAAGGCTTCCGTATCCGGGCAGCCAACTGCGCGGGGCTTCTGCTCTGTCTCCTCCCCCATCGATCTTCCTTCTCCTGCTGGCATGAAGGCCACTGGGTGAGGTGGTCTGTGTGGGAGAGAGAGGCAGAGAGAGAGAATCTGAGAAGGGCACGAGCAGGGCTGAACAGCAATAGTGCCCTCATTTGTCGTTCACCAGATTCTTACTGTGACAGTGTGAACAAGATGAGACAAAGCACACATTCTAATAAGGAAACAATGAGATTGGGATGGTTGTCTATTTTCTGAAACAAGCATTGTGGGTGCTTTATTAAAAATCATCAAGGAAGAAAGGGTTGGGAGGGGCGATCTTGGAGCAGGTGGCTGTCACCCTCTCAGTTTCCTACCTGCTACCGTCTGTGCCGCCCTTGGAAGCTTCTAGGAAACTCTTGGTGGACTGTTTCTTCCCTTTCTAGCTCTCCATGTTCATGTTCATGCACTCACTTGTCTCGGGGCATGTTGCAATCTTCGCCGTGACCACGACCATGTACTGTGTTCCAACCGAAGTGCTACCTTCCTCAGAGAGGAGGGACCTCACATTCGATGCCTACGTTTTGCATGTCTAGCACATCATAGACACTTTCTTTACATTTAGTGAGTAGATAAACCCATCTATCCCCGCTGTTCTCTCCCTTAGAATATCACCACCAACGCATGTGTGTGCTTGCATACATGTGCACACACATGTACACATGCATGCACAAACATACACATGCATGCACACACATGCATGGATTATTGATTGGATTTGCAGGGGTTCCTCCACCTCACCTCCGTCTCCCCAGCCTCTGCCTCTTTGGAGGCTCTGGGCACTGTTCCCCTGCTTTTAGTCGTACTCCCCAGTCCGCCTTCCTGCTCAAAGCTGTCTCCTCTCTTTCCAATGCACCTGATTTTTCCTGGTTCCTTTCCTAAAAGCCAAGGCTGGCCAAGTCACTTGCGGTTCAAAGCCTTGGACTACCTTTCCACGGTCACCAGAACAGCAGTAAGATGTGTTGGCGCCGTCTTTCTGACCCCGGCAGCTTCATTCTGCTTCCTGTTTTCTCCTCCTCTTACTGTTGCGATGCTGATGAAGTCCGTGAAAGCCGCAGCTTTTGTTCTGTGAACACACTTGACTCTCTTCCCATTGATCTGGCACCAAAATGCTGTTCCTCCACCTTTGGCCTTAATCCTGTGGGTCAGGCGTGGGGCACATGTCCCCTGTGGAGGTCTGTCCTGCCTCCCCCCTCCCCACGAAGAGACCTGGGGCTCCATCCCGAGCCCCACACGCTTCTCATCAGCCACACCTCACCTCCTGCTTTCCAGTTCGATTCCTCCCTTGCTTGTCTTTCTTTGTGTTCATGTTGGCAGGGGTTAGGCTTTGTGCATTTTTTAGTTTGATAGCGTTTAGCGCTAATCTTTCCAGGTAAGAGACAGTCAAAAAGCATTTGTCTAATTAAAATGAAATGCGAAACGGTCGTTCCTCCTTGCTCTCAGCCTGCTGCCCTCCACCCTTTCTTGTGCCAGAAATTAGCCAGTTGAGGCAAGGGTCCCCAGGTGTTCGTAACACTGAGGATTTCTCCACCGCTTCACCCTGGCTGATAAACAGTCGCGCTGAAAAGCCATGTGGCCACAGGAGCACACGGGGCTCAGACAGTGAGTGGCAGCGGGTCTCCGGAAGGTCACAGAGGTTGGACACGAAGGGTTCAGTTTCATGAAAATGCATCCTTTTTACACGAGTCGCTAAATGGAACTGTGGAATGTATCGTTCCACTTGGTTAGATGTGATAAGAAGAAGATTAGCGAACTGGAATGTGTAATCACAGCCAACACAAGAGAAAATTATTTGTTCTTTCTACGTTGCCGCTATGTCAGGGAGTGTTATTCCTTAGAATGGACATGTTTGGAAAAATGCTGCCAGAGCTAAACAGTGCCCTTCTGATCCCTGTCCTTGTGACCGTTTACCATACTCCAGTTGCTTTGGATGCACTGAGTCAGATAGAAGCCAAAATAGAGCCCAGTGGGCCTGAAGGACACTGAGTTCTCCCTCGAACCCACACCAGGAGCTCAGCCACAGAGGCCCTTGGAGCACTCGCTCTGCTCCCCGCCGTGTGGCCCCCAGGTAGAGCGGGAGCGTGACGCCACTGAGCAGGGTCATGGCTGGCGCAAGTACCCAGCTCCGCAAGCGCAACAGTCTGCCCACTGGCACCTGTGTTTGTAGGAAGCAACTTAATCTTCAGTAAGCAAAGTGTTGGACACTTAGTTTTGCATTTGTCACCCACATGGATGCTCACAGCAGTTGGGGTGTCTGGTTGGCCTGGGATTCTCCCAGTTGCAGCATTAACATTAGCTCACCCCTGGGAAACTCTTCAGAAGCCACCAACCATAATGGCTAGGCAACCTAGAATGAACCAGCGTGCTTGCTGTATTTGACAGACAAGAGAACTGGGCTTCAGACATGCAGATAACTAGTAAGTTGCAGACACAAGTTCAACACAGATCCCTGAACTCTACGCTTCATGTTTTCTTTTTTTTTTGTCAGGTTGTATACTCTAGTTTATGTGAAATATATACATTTGGACTTATTTGGGAAACTTAACTGTATATCATGATATAAAAGCCTTGTGAACCATGATTTAACAAAAGATCAAAGGTCATAGATCTATGTATATCTCAGTTTCCTCATTTGTAAAAAGCTGATAATAACAGATATATCCTAGATTTCTTGTTGAACAGTAATTTCTATAAGACACCTCAAAATGTGGCTTGCACATAGTAAACTTACACATAAAATAAGTAAGTAAACTGAGTAATTTTCTAATAATAGTTTAGTAAGTAAATAAAAACACATAGCACAAGGTAAGTTTGCAGTTGTGTCGAGATGGGGGAGGATTTCATAGCAACCAGAGAGGCCATGGGGTCAGCAACCATCTGAACAACCTTTTACTGGAGAGGGACCACCTTGCCTGGTTTTCAAAATGTCCATGAGGGAATTATAGGCCCATCTTTAAAAACACAACTGTACCTTTTTGCATCTGACCATTTTTGCTATTCTTATCTCCTTGGAAAATATCTTCAATAAGATCTTTTTTTCAGGGAGATAAAAAGAAATAGTCCCTGTAAAACTCTTCCTTCAACTTCAATGTAGTCATCTGATCCATTGGAGTCAATTACAGTAACTTTGTTTCTTCTCCTGTATTTTCTTCTCAAAGATTTCTCCCGAAGTTAGGCTTTTGTGAGTTTAATTGGAATCTGGAGGGTTTAATGATGGCTGCAGACTGTGCCTTTGACTTCAACAGCCTGGCCCCAGAAGCAGGAGAACCTAGTAGTCAAGCAGGAGGCCTGTGGATTCCAATCCAACAGGACACTAACCAACCATGTGGTTTGGAGCAAGTTACTCTTCTCTCTGTCTCAGTCCCCCAGTCTGTTACATAAAAAGTTTTTTTTTAAGTCTAAATAAAATAACCTATACAGGTGGTTTAATAAAACACCCAGAAAATTTTATAAAACTTAATTCTATTAACATGGTCATCCAAGAATGCTTATTTATAAATGCTTATAAATGCATCCTTAGAAGTGCATACTCTGTTAGCATTTATAAGGTAGTTTTAAATGTGGGAAGTCTCTAACTCTGAAATGATCTGGAGACGGTTGTAAGCTGTTTATATGATAAGCCACTGTGAACCATTCTTTAGTAAACGCCTGAGATGCATGGCTAATAGACCCTGGCTGGATATTCATTTAGTTGCCACTACCACTGGTGAGCACATAGAGATGGTAAAAAATGAAAAAATTTAGGTCAATGGAATTTTGGGTAAGTATGTATAAAGCAACTGTGGGTAGTTCCTTCAACGTATTTAGGAAGGGCATGTAAGCTGGGGTATAGGCAAGGTACATAGAGGATTTGAAATAAAACTAGTCAGGAATGTAATTCTTAATGTCTCTATTGAATATGTACTTCCAGGAGAAAGAAAAGATGCCAGTGTAAGGAGCCTCAGGAAACAAAGAGTAAGGTACGTTTTCTCCGAGTTGTCATTCCTGCCCCTCTTTGCACATCATAAATGTTTTGTAAAATCCATCCATTCGGCAATTAGCAATCTTCTTATTTATTCTCCTTTCAACCATCTGGCCATGCAATTGCCTGTGGTTCAAGGATCAGCCATTTGATGAAACAGTTATTTTTTGACTATTCTCCTATTAGCAATACCCTTTGAGACTGTTTGTTTTGCATTACTATCAACAAAAGAGCAATTATACCAGCATAATCATAATCAACAGTGTGCATCACCAAAATCTGTATTCATTTCCTGGGGATGCCACCACCAAATTCCCAAGGTGGGTGATTTAAAACAACAGAACTCTATTCTCTCACAGGTCTGGAGGGTTGGAGCCCAAACTCAAGAAGGATGCGTTCCTTCTTGGGATGAGAATCTGTTCCACGCTTCCCTCTGAGTGTCTGCTGGCTTCTGGCAATCCCTGGCAGTCCTTGGCTTGGGGCCCCATCACTCCAGTCTCTGCCTCTGTCTTCACCTGGCCTTCTTCCCTGTGTGTGTGTGTTTGTGCAACGACACTATTTCCACACAAGGTCACATCATGAAGGTCTGGGAAGCCCATAAATTTGGGGGCGACACTATCTGACGCAGTACAGGGCATAATATATTTATGCCATAAGGTTATTATGAGGATTAAATGAAGTTCAACTACGTAAAGGACCCAACGATGCAAGAATCAAGGACACAATGCATGGTATGCATTATCATTATTACCTTTTGATAACTTATTAATAGACTCGGAGATTATAAAGCTGCAGAGCCTTCAGAGGGTCTGTAGGAGTCTGATGAAGTCTAGACCTCTTTCTCCTCATTCTGCTTTGATCCGGCTCCCTTGTGTTTACTCAGAAGAGTGGAAGATTGCATCTACCTTTGCAGATCAGAGGACTGTTCATTTCCATGCTCACTGTCTCCACAATAGGTCAGGTATTCTCCGTAACACATACTATTCTGTTTAGGAAATTTTACAATAGATCACTTCTCCAAGTGTCATCTGTAACTACATCCATTTCTCTTCAATGTAATTATCCATCGTTATATTCTACCCTGCCAAAATGTCAAGTTCTAAAACATTTCTGACAATTCAGTATATGTCCTACTTCATAATCTACCAGTTTAACTTTTTTCTTCTATTAAATAATTACTCTTTGCAAAACAAATTTTTTTTTTCTGTGTCATTAATGGCTTACTTTTCGGCACCACTGGCAAAGACCCAAGAAGTCTTGCCTTTTGTTACTCACTGCTGCTGCACCTGAACTTACACGCTTTTTGGGTCTGTCCTTTGTCGTTAGCTGTTGTCCACTCACACCACCCAAAGCCCAACATGTCACTGTGAATCTCAGAGGAGGGAAGGAACTTTGCAACCTTCTACATCGGGTATTCAACTTCTGCAGGCTTTTGTACAATAATGTTAATTTTGAATGATGATTAAAAAGTGACATTTAAGTTGATATTAAGATGAAGTTAGACTTGCTTGGTTCTTTTTTTTTTTTTTTCCCGACAGGCTATATGGTAAACAATCACACCTGAACTTTTCTTTGCTTCCTCCTTACAAACACCAAAACCACCCTAACAATAGTATAGCATTATCTTGAAAGTGAATATCAGTTTATTTTGTTCATTTCTGTACGTGTGTTCAGTTGCTTATTTTTAAGCTAGGACACCATGATCTTTAAAAGTATTGTCTCTGGTCAGTGGCCAGGTAGCTTAGTTGGTTAGGGCACTGACCCAATATGCCAAGGGTTCAGGTTCGATCCCCAGTCAGGGCATATACAAGAATCAACCAGTGAACGAAGAAATAAATGGAACACCAACAATGATGTTTTTCTCTCTCTCAAATAAATCCATAAATAAAAAAGAAAAAGTATTGCCTCTGATGCCATTCATTCAACAGAAATTAATGGGTGTCCACTATGGGAAAATACTATGATACTAGACTTTTCACACAGAAAAAGAGAATAATTGTTCTCATCAAAATAGCCTGACATTGGGAAAGGGAGTTCTTCGCTGAACAGGCATCTCACGAACCCAGTGTGGCAAGTGATGATACAGACTAGGCTTCCATTGCATCTCACTTGGAGAACTGCACGCCAAGAACACGATTACTCACAGAGGTTCAATATAGTGAAGAGAAAGTTTTATGAAATGAATTCCAATAGAAACTTGACCTATGATGTAGTTGAACTGGGGAAGATACTTGTTCCTGGTGTCTTGTGCTGAAATGCAGTGAATTACTGACACCTCTCTGCCTGTCGTTCTAGGCCTCCAACAACTACCGAAGTCCCCCCTCCACCAGTCAGGAGTCCGATGGTGCAGGAGAGGACGTGTATGTCAACTTCCCGACCTTCTCTCGTAGACCGAAGGCTAGAGTCTAAGCTTCTTCCTTGACCTGATCAAATTTACAATGACTGTTATGTACATGGACCTTTATACAGTTTCTTCTCACTACTCAGTGTCTACCCTGAGATACCAGTTGACTGAATATATTTTATTTTTATTTTATTTTTTGAATTCAAATATCACACTATTTAATTCCTCAATAAAACACTGGAAAAAGGATGATGAGTGCTACATTTACATATAAAATCTCTGCCTAATAAGTAGCAGAAGCCTATGTACTAATTTCCTAAAGTTAAAAGATACACACACAATTTGGGGTTTATTAACAAAACAGAATATTACAGAATATTAACGGCAATTCTTCCGTCCATGGTCTCATCACCTCGTACTTGAAGGGTCAGGCTCTGGTCAGCCTGGAGATGTGTAGAGTCTCTTCTGCTTTCACCCATCCCAGGCCAGTACTAGGGCACAGGGGGCCCCGCCAGCCCTGCCCCAGGGCCACAGCCCCTGCTGCCCCGACTCCTGCTGGCCATGGAGGGGGAACTGCTGGATCTGCCTGCTCGCTCTCTCTGGGGTTGGTGACCCACACCACCTAAAGAGAACAATGGTAGCAGGAGTGTTTCAGTAAACCCACCTCTGATCAGCTTAGACGCAAACGGCAATGTACTGACTCCGGTCACGGAACCACCCAGGGGAGGTCAAGCCGCAGATGAGGGCTATTGACCAGGGCTTACCGGCTGTGTCTGAATCAAGTGTGGGCATAGACCAGTTTCTGGATCCCTTCTGTGACATTGGACTCCCTTCAGCGGTGCCAGCCGAACTTCCATTTGGGCTTTGCCCTGGTGCTTCCCAGAGTGCTTTCGTCCTTGTTTCTGGCTGGTGGAAAGTTCACTTGTGTTGTGGAGCAGACGCATTTGGTGATTTGCCCATCATTAAACAGGTCTCCTGGCCAGAAAGGATAGAATGGCTTCAGTCAGTGAACTGTTCACCTCTGGAGCTAGGAGTGGGGCCAAAATTCAGCCCGTGGGAGATTCAGAGACCCGTTAGGAGAGGGATGGGGAGCCCAGAAGCCAGCAGGTCGGCAGCCAGTGTGGCCTGCAGGACATTCTGAGACATCTGTTGGTCAACCGCAAAGAGAACTTGCTGGGGGATCTCAGTCAACTCTCTCGCCTGCTTTAGAATCTGCTGTATCAACATAGTTCACAAGAGCCTCTGACAGTAGACTAAACGAATGCTCAACAGCATGTGAAGGGGAAACCCCTTCCCTTTTGGTTCTCAAATAAACTTATCTCTGAATCTGTATGGAATTCTTCCACTATCCCTGGCGTAACCTTATGAGCAAGTGCAGTAGATGGTCCAATAATAGTTTAATGTTAATACTAAATTTTCCTACTTTTTAGGGTTATTTTAATATCTAAAGCTTCTCAAAAGGGGCAGGCACATAGGCAATATTAGCTCTTTAAAAATAATTGTGTGAAATCTGAATACAAGAGGCAGAATGGTATGGTGGTATAGTGTGGTCGCACAGAAAAATGGGGGGGAGAGCATTGGGGGGGATAGGAGAGAAGGGGGAGGGATTGAAGGGTGGGAAGATGCAGAGAGACACTTGTCCTGCTTCACGGTTTGGCAAAGACAAGACCAGTGGCATCACTGCAGACCCATTAGAGACCACACCTGCCGTCGTCCAAATTCTAGGTGGAGGCAGACATTGAAAAGTATTTCTGAGGTTCAGTCAAGGTGCCCAATATAGTGCTCCTTCCTGTCTCAAGTATCGATGACTCACTCCTGAAAAACTCATCATGAAAACTTTGTTACAGCCTGAGAACAGTAGACTTCACGGTAGTCTGCAAGGGAACCAACACCAAACTCCCCTGATGTCTAGACCGATTCTGAGCTGCACTTTACAGTTTTAAGCCAGTTGGTGGATATGATTTTAGCTTTCAATACCATGAGCCCCAAATAGTGCAATTATTCTGTGGATTACAGACACCGGGAGTGTCCCTATCTGTTTCAGAAGGGAAGGAAATAAAAAGACCACTTTCTAGTTGTACTTACGTATATGCAAGAAGATTTGGCACTCCTTTTTATTTTGTTAGCTTATGGATCTTTATGTCTGGGTTCAGGAAGTGTTTCCACAAACAGGTTAGTTGGTGCAGCACAGTTGGAAGATGGTTTACAAGCAAATGATGTTCTGTTTTGGGAACCACATCAGATCCTGGAGAGCTTCCGTGGCTGAATCCATCACTCTACATGGTCAAGCAAACTTCCCCTTGTTTAAAAAAAAAATGCTTTCTTTTTCCTAAAAGTTAAAGGCAATCACAACATTGCTTTCTGGACAATTCTAATAACCACACTGTCAGTGACTAACACAAGGGAGAAGGAAAACACTTCCATGGTCACACTCTGGGGAAAGGCCAGTCCCAGGGTAGAAGAGGCAGCAATGGCTGGGGAGGTGGGGGCAGGGCAGGCAGAGGCCACGGCCCTGGCGGCCTCGCTCCTGGTTTCAGCAGACGCTTTTGGGACACACCAAGCGTGTGTTGCACAAAGAACTGCAGAACGCTTGAAACGTGCCTCTTTTTCCAGGGCAGTTTCACTGTTTTCATCTCTCACTCAGAGTATTTATGGGAGACGTGGGCTCTGTGTGTTCTTCCCACTGGGCGCTCAGGGTTCAGACCCTCCTCAGAGCTGCGGACATTGCTCTGACCTCCCTGCTGATCCCCTGACACTGTCAGCTGTTACGCTGATGAAATCCTGTTCATTCATTTTTCCTTTCCTCTGGACTTCTTCACAAAGCACTTTCATTGTAGTCTCTTTAATATTATGGCTAATTTGCTAGACTTTTGAAATTCTATCATTACAAATATTATATATGCACATACACCACACACACGCACATGTCACACATACAGGCATACACAACACACAGGCACACATAATGCATATATGTGCACATATAATGTATCCACACATATATGTATATCCATCCCCCAAATCTGTTGTACCTGCTCTTCTGGTTGTTACTAAGGAAAGAGATCAAACCACACCCGCAGAGTGAATTAAATTATGTTGTAAATCTTTTTTGCAAGGTGCAACTGAGGAAGCAAGATGCTTCCTAAGATTCTCTTTTACATATATAGTTTATATGCTATATAATATATTAAATAAAAATCTGTTTCCCCTGAACGCCACTGTTTTTATGTTTACATTACAGCAGCCATTAGAGGGTTGCTGTTTGGTGTTAAGGCAGGTGAGTTTGTTACATGGCGTCATAGAATGCACGGATTTGTCAGGAGGAGCATGCGTCTAATTAACCCGCCAGGACTATAGATATTGATTATATCATCATCAGAGCAACCCTAAATCATCACTTAAGGCCTATATGCATGCTGAGAAAGTGGAATAGAAGTTGCCTTCCCTTGTAATTATGCTTGTGGATGGGAGGCAGCTGGGTGAGCCTATCATTCTTAATTAGTAAATATTCAAATTCATAGACTGTTTTAAGTCATTCAGCTTACTACTAAAATACACATAAAGTTAAAATACATGGACTTACAAGAGAAAGTGAAATAAAAATAATTTAGCAGTTTTACTTGTCATGGATGTTTTTCTGGTACTATATTAAAAAATAAAACCACAGCTTCATTGAAATAATATTCCAACTTGGTAGAGTCCACGTTGTAATTAGGAATCGTTATAATCAACCTATGTGTCCATGATTTATAATACTGTTCTGTACTCTTGTACTGCTTGATTGAAAATATTATACAATTAAGATGCTTATAAGGCATAGGTGGATATGATGAATTGTGAATACAGTTTAGCTTCTTTTCACAGTAGTGATAAGAAAATATCCCTGAGTAACATAAAATGACATAAACATGCAATACCATTATTTTATTATCTTTATTAGTTTGGCCACTATGAGAACACAGTGCCTAGAAAGTGTTGTTCTTCACATTCATGCTTTTGCCTAAATTACTATATTTTTTTCATTGGTTTGTTCACTGGAATTACTCTTAAGTCTCTACCCCTTTATACATGTATCTGAAAAATAAAAATGAGTATTCTTTAAAAAAAACTTTTCTAGAAAGCAGTCCTTTCTAAGAAAAATGTATAAATCATCCACGTTGGCTTATATATTATATTTTTCTAGGTTTAAAGCACTAACTACACTGTAAAATGTAAGAGAAGATCTAAATTGGGGGTGTGGGTGATAAACGTTTGAATTAATCACCACTTGTTGCCTGTTGTTCTTCCCAATGATGTTATATAGTTACCGTCCGGTAGAGCATTTTTTCCAGCTTTATGTGTGATTTCAGGCTTTCGGGTTTTGTGTGAAAATGTTTCCTTGACCTCCTGTATCTTGCTGTTTGAATAAATAAAATGCAGTGCTCCATAATCACTAGTTTCATTTGTCATGGGAGAATATTAGGCAAGAATTTCTGCAGAATAATAGGAACATGAAGAGTTAAAGGCAGAAGAAATTCACACCCTGGCACTGTGCAGCGTCTGCCTCGGTACAGTACATGGTGGGTTTATGGGAGCGTGGAGTTCAATGAGTCAGAGTGTTTCAAAAGATTGTTCCCTGCCCTTCCTACCGAGATGAGGTCTGGGTATCAGCTCAGCATTCATCAGTGTCCCCAGATAATAGACATAGTGTTTCTTTTTCTAGATTTCAACTTTACTCAAGTTTACTGATTTTTAAAATTTCAACTTTTGTCTAGACAGATACATCTTTATATATCAATTTCTGTGTAACACACTACCTCTGAAATCTCAAGTTAGAAGCGGACCTTTGTTGATTTTTTAATAGAGAACTGCTAATTAAAATGCTACACAATTATAACAAGTGCCATTTGACCTGTAGAAATCAATGTTATTAAAGGAAGAAGGCAGTGGGAAGGCGGAGTCAACTGTCTATGTGTGGCCACATGAGCAGAGGCCCTTTCAGGACTAAGTTCTTGTGAGTTTAAAAGATCAAGTAACATTTCTGGCCAAGTGGCTCAGTTGGTTGGAATATTCTCTTGTAACCAAAAATTTGCGGGTTCAATTCCCAGTTGGGGTGAGATCATTGTTTTTCTCTCACATCAATGTCTCTCTCTCTCTTTCTCCCTTCCTCTCTCTCTAAAATCAACAAGCATATCCTCGGGTGAGAATTAAGAAGTTAAAATATCAAGCAACATCCTCTGAGTACTTGAAGAGGGATGCCCAACCATATTTATAAGACATAAAACTTGACACTTTCTGATAACTTATTTTTTTCACTCTTCAAATTTTAAATAATCTCCACTGATTTTGTATCTTCCTGGAAATTCATTCTTAAGAACTCTTTCTTACTCAATAACTTATTCATTTCAACCTTAATTCCAGGTGTTCAGAAGTACTTACGGTGAGCCAGACCACTGTTCTTTAATCAGCTGACTGGGTAAGACTTTGAGCTCTCCAATGAACTCTTGATGCTATTAAAATTTCTTATTACAGCTTCCCAGGTGGCTTCAGTTAAGCTGATTTTATCATATGAAGAGGATCAGAAGAAAATTTTGATTTTTTTTTAGCTCACAGGATTGTACAAAGAAATGTCATTTCTCAATAGCTTCTAGAAGCATAGATGACTCTTCAAGCCTTCCTATAATTTCCCTACATCTATTACTCTGATTATGAGTTCACTAGCTAGTGAACAGCTAGCTGTTATAAAGTTTGACTATTGACAAAATGTACCAGTATATGTTTCTGCTGTGTACTGTAATTTTGGAAGCAATTTCTTGTATGCTCCTCTTTGGTTCTTATAACAACTCCAAGATGTAGGTAAAATAAATATTATTATCCCAATTGACAAGTGAGGCAAAATAGAGCTGGTGTCAACATTTTTATGGTACATAAAAATTTGGGCACAAAAAATGCAGGATGAAATCTGAAACTTAGGATGAGATCATGCTCCTACCAACATCAGGCTTCATAAATTTTTAGTCCAAAAAAAGCATAAGATAATAAATTCCATCCCGAGCCACCAAAAAACAATGATGTATTGAGTGTCCTCCATAAGCAAATACTACACTAGGGGACCCACCCATGACACAGAACACTGTCTCGGGTGCCAGGTTCAATGACCTTTTGTTGGTTTCTACTAAAATGGAATAAAATATGCCTCACAGGGAAGTGTTTCCCTGGTCACATGTATTCGATACCAATTTATTTAAAGGTTTTGTTGCACAAAAGGTAAGTCTGAATTAAAAGAATCCTTGAGTAAGAGGAACCAAGGCAGAAACAGCATGACCAAGAAATACAGAATTTATATATATAAAACATGGGCTTCTAAAGAAGACAACACATAACAGAAAGAAAGATAAACAAAACCGGAAAGATGGTATGTACCTCCTGTGGTCTGCTACTCAGTGCTTGCTCTTGGAATGCTTTCAGGGATGTGTGAAAGAGTCCCTTTTACATGCAGTTTAGAATTTAGAATGCCATCTGCAAGAAAAAAGGTCATCGGCTACTATGGTGGAAAGGAAGGCCGGGGGATCTGAGTGACACGTTCACAATATAGTCTTTGTAGCATCTCTTTTTCTTTAGATTTCATCCCCAAGAGTGAGGTGAGTCGTTAGAGTGAGTGAAATTGGTAATTTCTGGGGAGTGGATTTAATACTGATTTTTTTTTGGACATCAAGTTCTCTCTATATTTAGCTCTTTGAAATATAATTATATTTATTTTAAAAGGATAAATCTAAAAACACAAGCTACATAAACCATCTCTTTTCAGTTTTTATTTTCAAAAATTTAAAAAATAGATACTTTATTGATTATGTTGTTACAGTTGTCCCATTCCCACCCTCCTCTTTTTCCCTCTGCCCTGCACTTCTGTCCCAGCCGAATACCCCCCCAAGTAACCCCTCCATGGAGGGCTGATAACCCTCCATGTGATCTCCATTTCTGTGAATCTGTTCCTGTTCTAGATGTTTGTTTAGTTTGTTTTAGTTTTTGTGTTTTTAGGTTCAATTTTTAATAGTTGTGAGTTTGTTGTCCTTTTATTGCTCATATTTTTTATCTTTTTTTTAGATAAGTCCCTTTAACATTTTATATAATAAGGGCTTTGTGATGATGAACTCCTTCAACTTGACCTCATCTGGGAAGCACTTTATCTGCTCTTCCATTCTAAATGAAAGCTTTGTTGGATAGAATAATCTTGGATGTAGGTCCTTAGCTTTTATGACTTCAAATACTTCTTCCTAGCCCCTTCTTGCCTGTAAGGTTTCTTATTCTTTTTTTTTTTTTTTAGTTTTTATTTATTTTTAGAGAGGGGGAAGCGAGGGAGAAAGAGAAGGAGAGGAACATCAATGTGTGGTTGCCTCCCACTGGGGACCTGGCCCACAATCTAGGCGTGTGCCCTGACTGGGAATTGAACTGGCAACCCTTTGGTGCACAGCCTGTGCTCAATCCACTGAGCTACACCAGCCAGGGCCCTACAAGGTTTCTTTTGAGAAATCAGCTGATAGTCTTATGGGAATTCCTTTGTAGGCAATTCTTTCCTTTTCTTTTGCTTCTTTTAAGATTCTCTCCTCTTTCATCTTGGGTAATGTAATCATGATGTACCTTGGTGTGTTCCTCCTTGCGTCCAACTTCTTTGGGACTCTCTGAGCTTCCTGGACTTCCCGGAAGTCTATTTTCTTTGCCAAATTGGAGAAATTCTCCTTCATTTTTTCCAAATAAGTTTTCAATTTGTTGCTCTTCTTCTTCACCTCTGGTACCCTCCCTCCCCCCCCCCCATGATTCAGATGTTGGAAAGATTAAAGTTGTCCCAGAGGTTCCTAAGCCTATCCTCGTTTTTTTTTAAATTCTTGTTTCTTCATTCTGTTCTGGTTGAATGTTTATTTCTTCCTTCTGCTCTGAACCATTGATTTGAGTCCTGGTTTCTTTCCCATCACTCTTGGTTCCCTGTACATTTTCCTTTATTTTATTTTTCATGGGGGTGCCCGGCTAGCTCAGTCGGTAGAGCATGAGACTCTTATTTTTCATGGAACTCACTTTTTTTCTCTATTTTGTGACCTTACTCAACCATTTCTGTGAGCATCCTGATTACCAGTGTTTTGAACTATGCATCTGATGGGTTGGCTACCTCTTTGTTGCTCACTTATATTTTTTCTGGAGCTTTGATCTGTCCTTTCATTTGGGCTTTCTTTGTCTTAACACACCTGTTACATAGAAAGGGGCAGAGCCTTAGGTGTACACCAGGGCGGGGCAATCTGTGTCCTTTATTGTGATGCTGTACATGGGGAAGGGGTCCCAGAGGGAACAATGCCTCTTGCTGGGCTCTCTGCAGGCTTTCGGTCACTTCCCCCACTACCCACAAGCAAATTGGGCCTTTCTGGTGCTGATTCCTGGGCAGGCTTATTTACGTTCTAGGACCCTGTGGGTCTCTCCAACAAATTCTCCTGTGAGGAAGGGAGTTTCTCCCACTGCCTCAACCCCCACAGGTGTTTGCAGTCAGAGGTCTGAGGCTTTATTTCCCCACCTGGAACCCTGGGTTGTGCGGTCTGTCTCGCACAGCTGTTCCTCCCAGTTTATCATCATGAACTGCCCCCTCCACCATTTGCACCTCACTGCACATCTCTCTGCCTGGCTGCCCATCTTCGCCCCTCCTACTGGTCTCTGGGTGAGTGTTTCTTCTTTAACTCATTGGTTGTCGGACTTCCATACAGTTTGATTTTCTGGCAGTTCTGGTCGTTTTTTTGTTTTGCATTTTGTTGTTGTCCTTCTTTTGGGTATGTGAGGAGGCACAGCGTATCTACCTACATCTCCATCTTGGCTTGGCTTTGTAATGGATATTGGAACAAGAAAGAAGCCATAGGATGTCGGCTAAACCACACGAGAGTGGACATACCTGCTTCCTGACGTGCAGTGCATGCTTCCCTACCCAGTGAGCCCCTCAAAACGGGGTCCAGATCTTACTCATTTTTGAAATCTCAGCTCTTCAGTTTGTGTGTCTTAAATGGAATTTTAAAATAGTAAGCCCTAGCTGCTGTTGCTCAGTGGATTGCGTGCCGGACTGTGAACAAACATAGTGCATATACTTTGGCTGTTATATAACAAGGGTGTGCAGATATCCAGAAGAGTGTAAGATTTGGGGAGCTGAGTTTTGGGATTCACACATACGTGGAAAGTGATAAGTGAAGATTTTTCTCATATATGCTGGTTTGTGTCAAGAGAGAATTGGGAACTTCAGAAAAAGGTTTTAAAAATTTATACAATTCAAAGAGTTGTATAAGGTAATTTTAGAGTTATGCAAGGGTATATAATAACTTTTTGTGATTAAAAAGAGGAGACTCTAACTAGAGAGAGAGGAAGAGGAGGAGGCAAGAAATTCAGGAATAGCTTTGAGAAGAGTACTTTGGAAGAGGGGGAGGGTGGTCTCCCTTGCCTGCCGTACCCTTTCACTCCAGCCGTCTGCACATCTTCTCCCAGCAAAAGCTGCCCAAACTCCCCCCAACCCTGAAGCACAGCAAAAGGAATTAAAAGGCAGTAACAACCAAGTGCTGGCAGATACTTCATGTTCTTCATTCAGGGTTCGTAGGTAGTCAGCACTCAGTAAGTGTTTAGTGATTAACTGGCCTTTGAGATCATATGCATTAGCTGCTTGATTTTTCTAAAACACCTGATATTAGGATAACTCATACTTCCCTGAATGTTTAGCTGTTTTATCCACATCAAGCATTTATTTTATTACTTCATCATATCAATATCAAAATTTGGTAAATTTGTCTACTGTATTTCTTGAGTAGCTTGGAAATCAGGATAGCAGATTTGCCCCTTTGGGAGATTATTGGGTTTTGTTTTTCTGTGTTTGTACATTATCGAACTAATGGAGAACTGCTGTTGGGCTGTGCCTCGTGACATTAACGGTCTCTTTGATGTCAGCTCTCTCATGCACTTAGATTTCTCTGATGTTACGGAAGCCTCACACTCTCTTTGAAGGCATAGTTCTCTGACAGGAAAAGCATTACTAACAAATGAATCTATTGACCCAGAAAAATAAGATCTCAGCTAATATTTGAAGATTAAGTGTGAGGAATGGAGTCTGTATTTCCAGATGGATCCAAATTCAAGTGAGAAAGGCCACTCTCACAGTTGGCAAATAACAAGGAAGACATAGGTAGCTGGTACGGTCACGCCTCCACACTTTCCACTTTTGATGTTAGACGTGTGTCTGCCAAATGTTCATTTTCAATCATTTCCTTTGTTATTAGCAGATGAGCATATGCTGGAGAAAAAAACTGTGTCCTAGTTGTGTGTGCTGTTGTGAAAACCACTTAAAAAGTTCCCTGGATGCTACTTTACTAGAAAACAAAAGTGTTGGTTGCCAATGTCATTTTCAATATCAATAGTCTATGATGCCACCAAACCAGAGTCAACCTAGTAAAAATTATATCCTATTACAGCATAGGGTTAGGAAATTACTGGAAATGCGTAATGAAATCTCAGCAAGCTTACATTTAATAAAGGGCCTCTTTTACTTTATTTTGAAAATTGCAAGCCAATAAATAAAGGAATAAGTGACATTTTAAATGTTCGAAGAATATGATTGTCAGAATTCTGTTTCATTACATAGTTATAGTTCACATGATAACAAAAATGAAAGATCATATAATATTACAATGCTAACAATATTCAATAACTCCTGGGTACAAACCAGCCATTTAGATGTTCAAATCTCAGTCATGCAAAGTTGTGGTACAAAGTGGTTTTTTGAAGTGCTTTACCTTGTTTCAGTGATGGAGGAGATTCTAATATTGCACAACTATAAATGACCCCCTTGGTAGCGATCTCAATCACAAATTTCTTGTAACTATGAGTAAGACATTATTAACAATAGATTAGTTTATGTATTGAGGATTGTGATGTAGACCATAAATTTAGAAGGTAATTTTTGAACTATGTATTTTACGTATTTTTTTTTTACCAAGGGGAAAATTACATAGACAGATTTCAAAGTAATTTCATTTTCTAATTTTATTATTGCCTCATTACTATAATATTTTCTGTTTTGCCAGATATTTATGTTTAATTTTCCAGGGATAGTATTCCTCTTCATTCCATCCCAAAAGGTAGCTCAGGTAATATTTGAATATAAATGTCTCCAAACTATTATCTGGAATAGATTGTGATTAAAAATAAAGTGTATCAAATTATAGACCTTCCAGAAGAAATACATTTGTAATGGGTATTTTACTTCCTAACAGGGATGTAGTGTCCAAAGTTATTTTATCAAAATGATCATAAGCATTCTGTTTAATCAATGACAAATGATAAGCCCTATAGAATATATAGTATAAGACTTCACAAAGTATATATAAATTAATTTAAAAGAATTTACAGAAAGCAAACACATAGCACACATAATTTAATTCCTTCTGAAGGTTCATAGGGGTAAGGATTTTGCAAGACGGGAGATTTCTGTGTGGACCTAAGAAGAAGATGACCACAGGTATAGCGAGTAGGTCAAAGTCAAAAATGTGTAGGTGTGTTTGTGAGTGCTAGCTAGGGTTTACGTGAAGGGTGCTAAGGGAGGCATCCATTGTCTGCAGCCGAGATAGTGCTGGCGTTCAGTGTCATGTGTCATCAGGGGGCAGACTGGTTTGTTGCTGTGGTTTGTATACTGTGGGCTATCACTGAAATAACACAGCCTTAGAACTGGAAAGAACCTCTATTTTCTAATGCAAGTCTTCACAACAATTTGAAGTCTTTTTCTGCACTCCACCCACCGACACATATATTTTTGGATGAGAATAAGCACTGTTTCTTGAATTGTGCCATAGACATGTAAATCTGAATTTTATTAATCAAATGATTTCATATTGACTTATGTTAATTCCTGATTGATATTGAATATGAAGATAACTATCATTTTTATACACATCATGTTAATTTCAGATTTATATTGAATATCAAGATACTACTATCATTTTATTTTTCATTTTCCCCTGATTTTCAACCTCTCTGTCCAGTAGTTAATGATATTGAAAAACCATAAAACCCCTTCCATAATGTTTTCTTTGAGAGAAAACCCACAGTGACTTTAAAAATAACTTAAATCATTATCTCAAACTTCTTTTTCTGAATTTGGGTTTTTAAATTTTGGACTCCTGAAAATAAGTAAGTCTTGATGAGACTGTGGGTTAGTTGGGTGAATTAAGACAACAATTAAATTCCAGCATGAACACAGCTATGGGGTCGGTGTAGACACCCTACTCACTGGGCACATAACTCTGTGTCTACAAAATGAGCTGTTTTTATGTTCTCTTTAGGTCTAAAATCAACCAAAAAGCAGAGAACAGACTGAGGAAGTTAATTGTATCATCTAATAAAATAAGCCCAGAATATGGAATATGGATGAGGGTAGCAGACACAGGAGGTGAGGCAAAATAAAAAATTATTAAACAGAATTATTAGGAGGAAGTTGACACATTCCTATTACAAGGGTAGTTTTTCTTTTCCTTGAAATGTTTACAAGATATTAAAATTTTAAACTAAGGAAAGTATATGAAAATCACACATAAGATATGGTTCCCATATTGTTTAGTAACTTTAACTTCTGTCTAATTTATCTAAACTTCAATGAATTGAAATAATTGCCTATGTAATTATATAAGGGAAAACTTGATGTAAAATAAAAGTCACTCCCCAAATTTCAGTTGAAAGTGGAAGCTTTTCGAAGTCCATGTGAAAAAAACTGTAGCCCTGTTATTATCATTTCCTAACACAGTTGTGACAGATGCCGTACATAATGAAACCAAAGTGTTACAGAGTAATAAAAATCTCCGAAATCATAATCATGGTCATAGCATGACAAATTAGTAGGAAAATAACACATAGACACCTAATTATTATTACTTTTTTTAGTTTGACTTTTTTTGACCATAATCTTAAAAAAGTTGTCTGAATTTCCAACGAAGAACTGATTGACAATGCAGCCATAGTAACACTTAATACTAATCCATCATGACCTGCAAGCATAATGAATTGCCCTATAAAGCCTCTCTATTAATATAGTTGGCGATGAGTCCAGGAAGACTTAGGAACATCTGAAAAATTTGGAAAACACAAGTACAAGGGCCTATTAACTTCCTGGCCATGTGGCATGTGTCAGCTCCCACTACCTGTCCCTGGGAGACACGATGGAGCCAAGGAAACATTCCCGGACCGGGAGCCTGCTAGCCGACCCCATTCCTGCCTTTGAATAAATCACAACGTGCATGCGCGTTCCGTTTTCTCCTGAGCAGAACATGAAGTGGGACCTTCATTCTACATGACTGCTTCCAGAGCCAGCGAGCATTCTGCCTGTCTAGAAAATGTGCCCCAAATCTCACGATACTTCCTCCAGAGTCTATAAACTACCTAATGCCTCATGTAGTGAAATAGATTATAGAAATGATCAACGAAGGTTCACATTCTCCAGTAAGAAGGTAAGGATTCGTGGTAGCTCCAGGGAGGAGGGGACAGGTTAAGCTTCCAAGTACGTTTATAGAAAATGCACACATAGTAGCAAGTGTCTCTCCTGAAACATTCAGCCCCTGCCCATCTTGCTGATAATATATCTTCACACTGAAACTCACATGAGTGGGCTCTCCGAAAATGATCCTCACGTGACTGTGGAGACATGTGACCACCAGGATTTGCTTACATGTTCTTTGGTATTAAATAATTTTCCCTCAACTATAATTTTCACTCCACTAAAGGAAGCACACTTGTTGCTAACATGCTGTGTTTGTGCTGGAGCTTCAAAATTGGTGCAACGGATGTCATCTTGCACACTCAGCACTCACTGAAATGCATAGAGAAGGCCAAGTCTGAGACACGGAACCAAGGTTAGAAGGTTAAGAAAGCAAATCTGCACATTTCATTGGAATCTTTATAATCTTATGTAAGTTGGTGCCATCCTTCTCTGCCCCCGCCATGGGAAACCACACTCCATAAATTCATTGGCTAGAAATTTATTTGTGTAGCATATTACCTATTATTATAATTATTAATGTACAAGTATGTCTAGTAGGAAAATTTTTATCTATCTTGAGAAGGCCACAGTTCGTGGGTTGTAAAGTATAAGTAATTATTGGTATAGTAATTTGAAATTGCAAGATATCGATAGGCATGTTAATAGAATTGGAGGAAAATGCATACTTTTCCATTTGAGCAGTTTTCAGCATATTATTTGTTTTAACATGAAGTGTTAAAGGCCTTTAAGCTCAGTCTCACTGAATATATCTTGCCCATTTATAGCACTGTGTTATAATGATTAAAACTGGCCTACAATGCTTTTATAAGAATACATGTATAATTTGCTTAGCTTGTTTTTACCATATCATTAAGGGTTGATTTTAGGAAGTGGCTCAAATCATCTAGGGAATAGTGTGCTCATGCTTTTTTTTACAATGTTTTCTGAGATACTGTCCAAAGAACAAGGGGCAGACATCAAGTTTTATGATGCGTTTTAATATCTACTACAAAGATAGCACATGCAATAAATTGGATGTGTAGAAGCTGCTAACCGTGTAGTTATGTATCAGTTCACTGTTTCTGTGTTGGACAGAAAGTATAACTGGTTGGCCATTTTATAGGTGATAAGTGATATTCAAACATAATCACTCAATGAAGACAGAGGAAAACTGCACAATAAGAGCTGAGAACTAGTGTTCCAGTTAGTACCTGGTGAAGGAAGTGAGCTTTACTCTTAATATATGTGTTTTACTTCATTTCACATGCTCTTGTCAAACAGCATCTTCCTAATATATAAGTAAATACATGTTTCTTATTTCATTCATTTCAAATGGTGTTAGTGGCCAGAACCTATTGATTCCTAAATATTTGCAACCCGCACGAACTGATTCATTCCGAGCACCTATCAGTCACTCGGTGAGTGAGTAAATGCTGTGTCTCTGTTTGCCCTCATCAGAATAGTAAGCTACTGGGTTAAAGTGATTCTGTACTTTCATGCATTTTAAATTTAACATCATGAGTACCATTCATATCATCAGAGGAAAAAATTGGGGACGCAAGAAATAAATCTGCTCGTGCAACACTTCTGTGAAACGCGAATGCCCCTAGGCTGTCTGTGCCCTGAGAGGGCCCCTCATGACATGGTTCCATCATTGCTGCTCTCTTCCCGCCTGCCGTGGGAATTGGGACCATCTTCCTGTGCCTGTCTCCATCCGGAGGGGACCCTAACCGAGTCACTTTCAGAGGAGCTAAAAGATGTCTTTGGTTCTCAGTGAGTCACTCCCTCACCATGAAAAAGTCACATGAATATTAAAGATATAAAACTATTTCTACAGGGAGAAAAATGACTTGTGGAGTACAGAGGCATCTTTAGTCAAAAACCTACCAGCTGGAGGGAGTGGGATACTTGCCTATGGCCACTCTGGTTGCTTCAACGAAATTAATTTCATTAAGTTCCAAGAGACTGAGTCATTACCTTCTCATCTTTGGTTTTTGTAGAAGATTTATCAGCTTGTCATCTTTATTACAATGTGCACTGCCTTATGTCAAGTACATTAGGTTAATATAAATTCTCCTATCTGTTCATTTAGTAATTTTGACTTAACTACAATTATAAGTATAGTTAGAGGTGTGTGCTAGAATAAATCTCCAAAGATGTCCCATGAGATATTTTATAGCATTATTCTCATTGCGATGAGATTGAATGACGACATGGGAAGGACATTTCTTACTCATAGACTCTTTTTACAAACCTGGTTCTCAGAGGGAACTGGCCCAAGGCTGTGCCTGATCTTTGGGGCCCTCTTGGGTGTGCTCACTGGCAATGAGCACAAGAAAACGGTGTTCTTGAGCGACTCCACGCAGGTGTTGCGTCTCATACCCACCAGACACAAGAGCAGACACAACCAATTGGCAGAATCCTCCCCACCCTGGACTCCCTGTCTGTGCTTTGGGCAGATTAATAAAGCTGAGACATGAACCAGGACCCCTGAGGGTCTTTCCCCAGTAAGTCCCTTGTAGAAACCTGTGGTCTCTAAGCAACAGCTCGACTGAGTGACCAGCGAGAGTGTGGCTGTGAGCCCGAGGCCACTAGGAGCCGTGCTCGGATGGTCTCTGCGGGGAGCTGCTCCGGGGTTTCGCTAGGCATTTCAGAAGTCAATGCCATGACTAAAGGAACGCAGAGTGTCTAACCCTGATGCTGGGGCATCAGGGAAGACTCTGCCATCGCTGGGAGCCAGCCATTGGCTCCTGGGCTCGGTCAGCACAATTCACAGTGCAGAGCGTTCGAGCAATTTTCTTTTTATCCCTGAATGCTTAGGATAATTATTTTTCACAGCCACATTAACTCTTATGATTAGCATCTTGATGGGGTTTTCATACTTATCTGAGAGACGTGGAGAGTGTAGGTCGTGGCTCTAAGTGTGAATTTATCAGAGAGGGACCCAGAATGACTGAATTCTGTGTTAATTCTCTGAAATGAACTGTCTATCTGCATTCGAGCTATGGATGCGGGTGAAAAAAGTGTTATCGCAGACCAGCAAGCCAGCTCCCCTTTTGAAAGACTAACCTGGATAGCTTAAAATGTTTTGCTATTAAGAAAAATAAATCAGGTTTTCATCCTACATGGGCTGGGCTGACTGCTGTTTCAGCCATGGCGGGGGGTATCTGGGCGCCAACCGCTTAGGCCTGTGGCACCAGAGAGTCAGGCAGAATCATCTTCATGTTTACTTGACTGAATCCAAAACTGAGGGCAAAACTGTCTACAATGACCTGAACTAGCCAAAACTTTCTCAGTTTGCATGGAAATCACCTCTTTCCTTTAAACCTCAAAGATTTGTTATTAGTGTGGCAGATGAAATAAATTATATGTAACCCATTTTCTCACAGTCCCAGCCAACCTGTGTCCAGTAAAAGGACACGAAAGCCCAGCAAATTCTGGCTGCGCAGTCATCGGCGCATCCCGGATGCCCTCGGAGAACCACACGTGCGAGATTCTAAATCTCTCCAGCCCTGCTCCCATTGTTCCCCCGACTGCAAAACTGTTCTGTTCGGTGCTTTGCCAGGGTATTTTTATGTCTTTCTTCAAGTGTCTCAGTGAGAGTCTTTTTCGTGAGATTAAATGGTGGCCGGCTGGTGATCACGTCCAGTCTTGCCCTCTTAGCTCAGAAGGGCGGCGGAAAGGAGAACACACTAGGTCGGCCGCAACTCACCAGAAGGACCGGTGGGGGTGGGGGTGGGGAGGTGACGTGCAGGACAGCCAGACCGGTTCTGTTGTCTCCAGAATGTCCCTCCTTCTCCCACCCTCACAAGTCCCAGAGGAGCAGACTCGACTATATAAATACTTTTGCTAATAAGAAGCCTTTTTTCTTTTTTTTACAGCACGGTTTTAAAAATAGCTGTTCAACATAACAATCTTAAATTTTAATGCACCAACTTACAGTTTCCGACAATTTCAGTGGGTGTGACCTGTCACCCTCTGTGTGCATTTGATGATGCTTGTTAGCTACAGATGGGTGTGGCAATATCCATGCCCACCTTTGCCTACAGACACGCGCACACGTGTGTATACAAACACACACAAGGTGAGCTCTCAGGCCCTGCTTACTAGTATGTTCTAATTTTGTGTTCCTGTAATGGTCACTGGGGTTATTTATATGGAGAGTTACGATGCCCTTTGTGGGGCCGATTGGATTTATCCCTGTCAAAACCTTCCAAGCCACACAGCTTGTGGTGGGTCACCTTTATGCCGAAGGACCGGCCCTGTCATCAGCCGGGAGAGCTGAGCCAGGAGGACGCCGCCTACCAGGCCCCACACGAGCCAGTGCGGGCAATGCTTGCAGTGCCCAGGCTGCTGCTGCTGCTCTCAGACCCGAACAATTTTATTTAAATGACTATCCATACGATTTGGATTCTACTTTTGTAAAACACAGGTGTCCCCCTGCCCCCAAGAAATTCAATAAATAAAGGACTTAGCCACAGAATCGAGGCAGCGGAACTCCAGTTTTGAACCTTCCACTGGGAATGGGGTAGACCCGGCCCACTTCAACTTCTGCTGCAATTGGTCTTCCAGGAGGCAGAGGGCACAATGCCCCTGCACGCAGGTCCAGGACAGACTGTCTCTCTGGCCAGCAGCGGCTCTCTGTGTGTCATTGAATGAGGCTGGAGCTGTAGCTGAATCCGTAGCTGCTAGACCGGGACAAGGACTGCTGAGTCTCTTCGCTCTGCTCGGAGGTGTAGCTGGGGAAGGTCTGTGCACGTGACATCTTCGAAGAACCAAACCCGTGGCCTGGGGAGAAAGAAGGAAGGAGAGCTGTGCTGAGAAACAGATTCAGCAAAACAGAAAGATAAATTGGGAAAACGAACGACCACAGCAGAGCCCTCATCCCCTCTGTATGGGGCTGCGGGTTAAGTTGGTAAAAATGGAGTTAGTTACCTGGTGCCTTCTTCCTTGATGAGCTACACATGTTACCTGCAGGGTGAATTTTCTATGAATCTCAGACTTCTGTTACCTTCAACTTTTGAAACAGAAGCAGACAAGCTTCCCCCCCTTCAAAAAAAAAGTTGTTTTTGATGAAGAGCCTGTAAGCTGCTTTCTCTTCTTTTATGATCATGTTTGGCATACAAAAGCAAATTACGCACTTTCTTCACAACTTTCTGAGTCAGGAAACTGCACTTCATCTGGGGCAGTAACCACGAATTATCAGGAGGAAGCCTTCGGTGAGAGCATCCCAGGCACTGGCTTATCCTAGTGGGTTGGAAAGTAACTGAACCCATTTCGTGATATAGTTAACCCACATGATAAACCTTTATAGCTACTGAAATTGCTCCCTGAAAGTGAAATCCTACAGAAGATATATTTTCAGGAAATTCTAATGATGCTTCTTACAGTTCAGACACACCCCTGCAATGAGAAACTGGCCAAACACCAATGATAGCAGCGATCACCGGAAAACTTGTCAGGATGTTCAGAACATAGGGAGAAAGTGCGTGTTCCAAGGCTGCAGCTGAAATGTCTCCCCATCCTTCAGCTTAACCAGGGATGATGAATAATCCTTCAGAGTTGAGAATGCTAATTAGCTAATGGATGAGCTTAGTGGGAGAGAAGAGGCTCAGATCTGTGTGCTTTGCCCTTCAGACTGCGTTTCACCCGAAGGAGGCGACATCTTGAGCCCGATTTGTGCTGTTTCTGGTCCTGATGGGGAGGCCTCCAGGGGAGACAATCTGTTACACAGAAGCGTCCGGTGTCTCGCTGGGTCCTCAGGAGGCGCTGTCCTTCCCAAGGTCATGCACTTAAAGCCGTTTCATTGCCAGGTGTGTTTTCCTTGCAGTGTCTGAAGCTTGGGGTCCAGGGAGAAAATGCAAATGAATTGGATAATCAAAAGCTAATTAAATTGCTAGAACCACTTAAGGTGAAAATATTGTGAGAGCAAAACCTTGCTTTCTGGGTAAAAATCATTTTAGATTCATTGTTAGACTGATTCTTTTGTTAAGACTCAATATGAGGCCCCGGCTGGGTACTCAGTTGCTTGGAGCATGGTCCCCATACACCAAGGTTGTGGGTTCGATCCCTGGTCAGGGAACATGCAAGAATCAACCAATGGATGCATAAGTAAGTGGAACAACAAATTTGATGTTTCTCTCTCTCTCTCTCTCCCAAATCAATAAATAAAACATTTTTTAAAAAGACTCAACATGAGCAGGTTGGGGAGAAGCGAGATGTGGGCGCCCTTGCACCCTCTGCCTGCTCCTGTGGTTCTGTGGCCCTGCCTCCTTCTAGCTGAGCTTCCAGACCTTTCTGCTCCCTTACTCCTCACCCAGAGCTCCAGAACCCCCTTTGCTCCTTTGGGCCTCAAGGGGGCTTCCTGCTGCTGCCTACCCTTCAGGGTCCCTTACAGGTTTTGTAACTTGACCCAGAGGTCTTTCAATAGTCCATTAAATTCTCCTACAATCTCAGCTGAGCATGGCTTCTCAGGATCAGAGCAGGGCACTGGGGAGCTCAGGGGCACTGGTTACAGAACTGCACACGCCAGTCCACAGTCCTGTGCACTTCACTCCCCGTGTGTGCAAACATCGCCACTGCCAGGGACTCCTGAGACACACGGCCTTGAGTTTCTTCCCTCTCTACCGACGGTTTCTGCCCCGTCGGCCTACATGGAGAGAATGTCTTTCTCAAGGTGTTTGGAGGATTAAATGAAATTCTTAGAAAGACACCTGGGATGGTGAGTTCCCCACAGATGACAGTGGCCTCCCTTCTTTCCAAGAGGAAGGGGACTGCATTCTTGTCACTCTTTCCCTTTAACATCTGTACTGTCCTGCGCCACAGTGACAGTTTCTGAACATTATTCCCCTGCAAGACCAGCTCTACTTTCTTCATTTCCTCTATGAGTGATCTGTAGTCAAACTGGAAATTAAATTATGACTGTTCTTTAACATCCTCAACCATTTCTGTAGAGACACTTTGCAAATGATGTCATCAAACACTGTCACGAACACAGCGCGCCTCCGTCAGAAATGGCACAGGTGGAGGCAGACGCACGCTGTCTGACTTGGGCAACAATGAGTGTGAGGACAGAGGGGAGAAATAATTAGACATTTTTCTCAACCTTCATTTGAATGATGCCCTTAACACTGTTGGTGAAAGCAAAAGAAAACAAAACAGAAATGAACTTTGTGGCTTAAATTAAAAACTTGCTGGAACAGACCTGTTCAGGAAACAGAGACTATTTAAATGCTTCCTGAACTTGCCCTTCAGCCCACCCTGGAGGGCAGGTGAGGTGAATTTTACCCTAAGGACCTGAGGGAGGCTGGAATTAAAAAGCAACACATCTGTTAAAAGCTAGTCGTGTGGCTTAAAAAGCCTTTTGAGTTTGGGTTTCCACTTCATGGTCTATTCATGTTTGTTTTAATGGAAAATAATACTTTCTAGCCACCTAGTCAGGTAACACCGGCCATCTAAGAGATGCACACATGGTACTTACCTGACAGTTTGAAGTGCACTCTGAAAGGATGCTCCCTGCCATCCCCCCGCCCCTTCCCCTGATGTATATACAAGCCACAACCGAGAAACAGAGTTCTGTTCCATAAGGAAGGAAATATGATGGACAGAGAGGTTTCAAACATTTGCGTTATTCTACCAAAAATGCCCCCCTTTCCAGAAACTTACGCAGATCATAGGCCAAGAGAGGTGAAGTCACCCTAGTGATAAAGATAAGTCTTTGCTTGCATCAGAAAAGATCCAAACCAGTAATAAACTAGAAGGACCACATAGGCATTGGGAAGTCACAGAGTCAGGATGCAAGACCAGAGTCCTGGACCGGGTCACACAGTGAAGAACCAGAGGACAGTACCTTCTGGATAACCTCCCCTCCCCGGGGAGGGGAGCGGGGTCCCTACTGCTCATGCCTCTGCTTTGCTACAATTGCTAACACTCACTGTGCTCTTGACATAAATAACTTGTGAAGGAATTTGTTTCTGGAGGAAATCAGAGGATCCAAAAGCACAAAACTTGCAGTTATTCAGTGGGGAGAGCAAAAGGTCTCAGCAAGGCTACTTGATCTGAATTCATGTTAGAATCTGGGGGTGAGGGAAGGGTGCTGTCTCTTTAAATAATAACACAACATTTAAAAAACAAAGCAGAAAAATAACAAAACAGTTGCTTCATGAAGAAGGGTGCAACCTGGAGTCAAGGTATTAACAACCATGGGCCCCAGGAGACACAGGGGTGTCTTCTTTGCTAACAAGGGCTCTCTAGCCACTGGAGCAAAGGAAAGGGCAGACCTGACACCGAAGGACAGATGGATGACCATCTGGGGTGGACACAGAGATCTCTAAGGGCTGTCACCCCAGTGAATTTGGAGCCAGAGGCTTCTCGGGGGCAGGAGTGTCTGGGGAGTGTCTTAGAGGTAACCCACCACCTGTTCGTTCTGCTGAGAAATGCCAAGGCTCGCGGTCAACTTCTCCACTCTAAGCCCCCGTTTGCTGTTACTCCATTCATTGTAACCGCAGCTCAAAGCAGACTCCATGTGGGTTTGACCTTGGGGCTCTCCCAGGGGTGTCTCTGACATGCCTGTGGAGGGGGCTCCCCTGGCCCAGGAGTCTCGTGGCCCTTGAATAGATTGTTGTGGATATTGAGGCTCAGATTCAGCATGTGGGAGCCACAGGGGAATATAAAGATCGTGAGTTTCAACTCATCAAGAAAGTGATTTGGAAAAGCCACGATATAATTACCACTGTTCATTAGGCACTTGTTCATGCTGATACTGTACTGAGTACCTCAGGGTTGTCACCGTTAAAAATTCTCACATCCGTCCTGCAAGGTGACAGTGCACACCCTCGTGCGACATGCAGATGAACAAAATCCGTCCGGCCGGTGTCTACTGAAGGGGTCGAGCAGCGTCAGACCTGGGTCTGCTGGGACCCTCACCCAAGGCACTGCCTGCGTATTGCTGCGTGTCTTTCTGGTACTCTTTCAACACTGGTCTTACTTGGGGAACTGTAATCTGTGTATTTATACATCCATGGCTTCAGAGGAGGAGAAAGGTCAGTTTTCACAACCTAGTTCCTAAAGACTTGTTGAAGTGCCTCTCAAATAGTGATGTATGTTGTCAAAGAACAGCAAACCGTTCAAGCAAGTACAAGTTTTCTTTGTCTGCTTGGGCTGCCATAACCAAGTTCGGGGGCGCTTCAACAGCAGACATGGATCTTCCCAGGGCTCTGCAGGCCGGGAGTCTGAGGTCAGTGCTGGTGGGTCGGTTTCTGGTGAGGGCGCTCCCCTCCGGCCTTCTCACCTTGTCCCCATGCGGGCCCTGTGCTCCCTGCTTTCCTGAGGTCTCCAGCTCTTCTTCCAAGGACATTAACCCTATGGGTTCCAGGAGCCACCCACATGACCTCATTTAGCCTCGATCACCTCCTTAACGGTTGTCTCCACAGACGGTCACTTTGGGGTCAGGGTCAGGGCTCCGACCTTTGAATTTCTTTTTTGGGGGGGCCATGATTCAGTTTACAGGAAGGTGTAAAAAATAAAATGGGTTAGGACACACTAACTTAAAATAGTGCAAAAATCTCTTGATGGAGATTTTTTTAAACCATTTTTCTGAGAGGCATTTGTACTCGTTAGTGAAATTATGTAATGTGGTTTAGGATTACACAAAGTAATAAAATATGTTATGTAATTTTTATCCTTCAAATTAGCAAAAAAAAAGAATTTAAGAATTTAATGGTTGTTTTATGCCATCAAGTTTCTTTTTTTGCATTTTCTTTTTTAAATATATTTTATTAATTAGGCCA